AAAAAATGAAACTGCTGGTTATTTAACAAACATGGATGGGAGAAAACTGTTTCGAATCTCATGCTCTCTAGTTGCTTTCATTTGCCTGGATCAGGCAAAATATTACAGTGAAAAGCTCATCTGTTCTTAAACCACCAAACTAAAACTGTTTGCACACATGCCCGCCCTAGGCTAAGTGTGGCTTTGCAAGACGGATGACTGATGTCATATTGATGGCACCTTACACATAATGAACTCATTCTTTCTTAAAGAAAGGAGCCTTTTACAGGGTTGGCCATGAGAGAAAAAAGCAGCAGGGCAATCACAGAGTAAACATCCTCTCTTTATCTGAGCCATTATTGCTTTACTGTTTGGGGTACTATGAAGTTAATAGCTCAGGATGCCTTATCAGAACACAACAGTCCATCTGGCTGACTTCTGACACCATATAAGTGTTAGTTGCTAGGGCTTTTAGTACAGAAGGAAATAATATGTTGGAGGATATGTGGTATTGTACCTACTCCCTCCCTAAAGAAGCAACTGCTAGACAGACCGAAAACCCACAGAAACAGACAACTACAGCATGCAATTTCCCATCACATTCTGTCAATAAGACTCAGTTCCCAGCCACTGCCAGGGTCCCCCCTTCACTTTGCAAGCGCAGACAACCAAATTAGGTTGAGTGGAAATGTTAATGTCGAGAACAAAACCCCCAGGTCTGACCAAACTAAATCACAGTGATTTGCCTAGAAATTATCTACTTTTTGTAAAAAACCAAGCACAACATGAAGAATTATATTGACGAGAATTAATAATTAGTTAATTGTCAACTAATGCATTTGCAGTAAAAGGCTCTAGGATTATTTTGGTACTTTTTAATTGAATATAGGCATCTCTAATACTTTGAGATTATTTCTAAATCACATAGAATTTGTAGTCATCCTGTAAATGTCAGGTTATTTGATAAAAAGAATTGACGCCTTTGAACTGTGGTGTTGGCAAAGAACATTGAATATACCATGGGCTGCAAAACAACGAACAAATCTGTCTTGGAAGAAATACAACCAGGATGCTCCTTAGAAGCAAGGATGGCGAACTATGTCTCACATACTTTGGACATGTTATCAGGAGGGACCCGTCCTGGAGAAGGACATCATTCTTGGTAGAGGGTCAGCAAAAAAGGGGGAAGACCCTCAACGAGATGGACTGACACAGTGGTTGCAACAACGGGCTCAAGCACAACGATTGTGAGGATGGCGCAGGACTGGGCAGTGTTTTGTTCTGTTGTGCACAAGGTCGCTATGAGTCAGAACCAACTCGATGGCACCTAACAACAACAACAAATTTCAGACTATAAATTTTGTTTTCATTTCTCTAGACTCAACACTTCCATTTCAGGAACAATCGTTCAGACCTATGCAAAGAAGTCACTTAAAGCACAGCTGAAGTCTCTCTATGAATCTGCTAATCTACTTCTTTTTAGAAGGCAAGCAGACACATTATTCTTAAAAATAAATTACCTTCTCTTTATGCCTTAGCTAATCTAGTGTAAATAAAGACCCTGATCGTGGCAGTGAAATAATGTTATCAGAGAAATAGTATCCATAAGAATTATAAAGTATTATTCCCACATAGATAACATAAGGTTGACATTAGCAACACAAAATAATACTCTATACAAACCAATACTTCCGCTAATTTTGACTTTACACAGTTTATTCTATTTTATTTTATATACTATGTACTTATTACTTTATTGTCCCTGAGCACAGACGGAGGTATACACATACCCAAAATTACCCAGGTAGCAGTCACTCATCAGACAACAAGGAAATAAGAAAAGTCATTTAGTGACATAGCCTAAGTGTCCCCAAATTCTGACATTTTTATAAAATAAACCTTTTAAGAATAGTTTTTGACTTACAGAAAAGTTGCAAAGACAGTACAAAATTTTCAGATATGCCACACCCAGTTTCCCTTACTATCAACATCTTACATTAGTATAATACATTTGTTACAATTTATGAGCCAACATTGATAGATTATTATTAACTAAAGTTCATACTTTATTCATATCTCCTTAGTTCTAACCTAATGTCCCTTTTCCGTTCTAGGAGTCCATCCGGGACACCACACTATATTTAGTTGTCATGTCTCCTTAGGTTCCTCTTGGTTGGGACAGTTTTTCAGATTTTCTTAGTTCTGATGACCTTGACAGTATTGAGGAGTACTGGTAAGGTATTCTGTAGAATGTCCCTCAACTGGGATATGCCTAATGTGTTTCTCATGATTAGATTTGGGTTGTAAGTTTTAGGGAGGAAGACCACAGAGGTAAAGTGCCATTATCATCACATCATATCAAGGCTACATACCATCAATGTGATATATCACAGTGTTGACATTAACCTGAGGAGGCAGTGTTTGTCAGGTTTCTCCACTGTGAAGTTACTCCTTTTCCCCTCCTTTCTATATTGTACTCTTTGGAAGGAAGTCACTGTGCACAGCTCACAATTAAGGAGTGAGGAGTTATGCTTAGTTATTTGGAAATCTTCTGCACAGGAGATGTGTCTATCCCCCCACCCCGTTTATTTATTTTTCAATCATTTATTTATATTGGTATGGACTCACAAATATTCATGTTATAGTTTGGGTTACATTCCAATACTACTGCATTTATTTTGTTGCTCAAATTGTTCCAGCTTTGGCCACTGGGAGCTCTTTCAGTCTGCCTGTGTCCTTTGATATACCCCTATAACTGTGGGTTTTTTGAGCATTTTCTTACTTTCTGGCAGTGTAAGATGGTTCAGGCGCATCTTGTATATTTTCTGCCCCAGCACTAACCAGTTGCTGTCGAGTCAATTCTGACTCATGGCAACCCCATGTGTGTTAAGAATAGAACTGTGCTCCATAGGGTTTTCAATGACTGATTTTTCAGAAGTAGACTGCCAGGTCTTTCTTCCAAGGCACCTCTGGGTAGACTCAAACCTCCAACTTTTGGTTAGCAGCTAAGTGAGTTAACTGTTTGTATCACCCTTAGGCTTTACCCCAGTACTAGCTTTTCACTTTGAGTTTTTATTATAGTGCAGAAAGAAATGTTATGATCTTTTATTTTAACGTGATAGAGTCAATGTACTTGGAAAGATGGCAAAGGCTAAAATAACTCCTTAATTCCTGTATCAATAAACCATATACAAAAGGGCCAGATTAAGAGACTGTCCACTGGTGATTGAGATTACACCTGAAAATATGCTCCCTCTTGTTTTCCCTCTGGGGTTATGGGAAGGAGACAAGTGATGGTAGCAGAAAGTACTTGGACCTCAGTGGCAAAAAAATACACAGGTGTCAGCCCCACTTGGTCTAGACCTGCTCCTTGGAACCAGTGTTACCAGTCCAGGTTGCAAGGAGGCTGCTTTGGAATGGTCAAGCATGATAAGCATGTACTCTGCTCAAGCTTAAGTACAGTGGCTTGCAAAGACTCTTCCCTAAATCTCTGAGATTGCAGCAAACTACGGTCCAACCATGAAGGAAGGCAGCTGGTGTTCTGGGGGAGGAAAAGTGTTCTTATCCAAACCAGACTGGTTATGTAAGGAAATACTTGGAATCCCATGCATGCCTGTGATAAGGCTAAAAACATTTGCCTCCATTTTCTATTTTGCACCTGCATCTTTAAGCCAATTAACAAAAGCGTGCAGTCCATTTTTGCACATTAGCAATGAAAGGCTCAAATCTTGGGCACAACCCAGTGCCAAACTTTATCTGTCATATGATGGTGTGCTCCAAATAATATTTTTCTCTAATCTAGTCATAGGGGAGGCTCTACAACAGTAGATGTGACAAGAGGAGAGTTATTGGTCACCAGTTGGAATGATAAAAGGATCCAGTGGTAGGAAAAATATCCAGATAGACCAGAGTTCAGGAATGTTTACTATGTCCCAGTGGTGGGCCAAGCATACCAGACAAAAAGACAAAAAGCCTCGGTTTGAATCCTGGCTCTGCTAGTATCTAGCACCATCAGTTATTTTATTTTCTGGAGACTCCATTTCATCGGCTATATACTGAATGGCTCACTTTGTTGGATATTATTATTATGATTCCATAATCTAATACACTTTCTTTCTCAGCATGAAGGAGAGGGCTAGCCTTAAAATGATTCAGATCAACAGAATCAAGGAGAAGAAAACTAGAGTTTAGATACTCGTGGTATTTTTTAATTTATTCTAATGGCGACTGGATTACAAAGTAGGTTCTGAGACTGAAAACCCAGACTTGAAATGAGAAAAGCGGAAGGGGGATGGGAAGGATGAGAGCTGTCATCTTCTAAGGTGATACATAACAACTGTTATGCCTATTGGGTTGTAACAGACCACTGTGTAGGAGGAGTCTTCACTCCTTTATTTCCTAAGCCTTATCTGTGTGAGGACACTCATGGGAGAGTCACAGAAGGCTGGAATGTTTGTGTATGGCAGGCAGTTATTTTGGTGGGTGTGCTGCCCTTCCAAGGGAAGAGATAAACTGGGGGTGGAGAAATAAGAACCAAGGCCTACGGGTCACTGCTTTGGAGGCTTCCTGGCAGGACCACAGGGTTCAAATTCATGATTCTGAAACTGAAATTGAGCTTATTTAACAGGTGAAGCATGTTCTACTTAACACCACAATGCAGATAACAAGATCACAGCCATTAAAATGCAACTCCCTCCCTTTTCCTTAAATCCCCCACTTTTTCCCTTTAAAAGAAAGAGAGATGCAGAGAGAAGAAACCAAACCAACCTCCAGCTCCCAAACTGATCTGTGGCTATGAGTTTTTACTAAAGAATTTCTATGTCAAATGATTTAAAAACCAGAGGAAGCTGTAGAAAGAAAGAAAGAAAGAAAAAAAAAAAAAGCCAAAGGTTTAAGTGTATGAGAACAGCATTTCCTGCCAGAAGGATTTCCTGTTTCAGGCAACCACATATCGACCTGGTGAAACATCCGGCCCGCAGCCGCAGCCTATGTTCCACAGGCCACTTCTCTGTTCTACTCACCCTTCCTCTCCAACAAATGTGACATATAGCTTATTTCTCTGCAGATCTTTTCTGGAGTAGCCCATAATCTGATTAAAAGCATCTTCTAGTAAGTGATCTCTTCTGATAATTAACCTGTCCGTAAAGAGACAATTTGAAAAACAGATTACTTCCTAATCCTTATCTTTCTGGAGTTTGGTACTTGCTATTTAATTTCAATTTACTACAATTAATTAGGTGAGAAGTAGCCCTACCTAATATCATTACTGCATGCAATAAAGCACACACTTGTGTCTAACTCTTAACAGCATTAGCAAATGTTGCATAAGAGAATAATTGGTAAATACAGCATCCCACCTATGACCCGTAATAACAACTCGAGAGCCCGTTCTGAATGGTCAAATAATTTTATCCCAGTAGGAAAATGCTTATAACACATACAAAACTTCTGTTTAGTAAAAGAACAACCCTATAAGGTCATGTTCTAAGCCTGAATGCACCTAGACAAGAAATTCAATTACTAAGTGTCCAGAGAAGATGACTGTGAGGCCAACGAGAAAAAAAAAAAATCAGTGTCCTAAAATGCAGAGGAGTTTACAATGGTGCTTAATTTTTAGATTAAGTGAATTTTGGGATTCTCTAAGTGACAGATACAAATGGATGATGCCTGCAGCCAATTAGTCAACTTGTGATAGACATGAGGAGCCTGGTGGCACAGTGGTTAAAGTGCTGGGCTGCTAACTGAAAGGTTGGTGGCTCAAACCCACCAGCCGCTCTGTGGGAGAAAGATGTGACAGACTGCTTCCGTAAAGATCTACAGTCTTGGAAACCCTAAGGGGCAGTTCTGCTCTGTCTTACAGGGTTGCTATGAGTCAGAACCAACTTGACGGCAGTGGGTTTGGTTTGGGTGATAGACACAATTAAAGTCATCCTTAAACGGGTATCAATTTGCCCTTAATGTAAATGGTAATAGAAAGGAAGATGATAAGGAGGCTGAACACAGGAAACTTGATCATCAGAGACATTCACAAGTGAAGCTGTGAGAAAGGTAAAGCTCAGAGTACTAGAGTACTGTTTTAGGCAGGTTGATGCTTTTTTAGGGCAGTGCAAGTGGAATCCGTGAATTAAACCAAGCAAGCCCTCATGCAGGGCAGTCAACTGTGCGGCTGTAGGGCTGGCCTTTGCACCTTATCACAGGCACCCAGGTTCATGGCAAGGGTGCAATGGAGACCCTCCCTCCTCTGTCTTCTCTCAGGTGGTACAGTGGTACTCTGGTAGGACACAGAACAGGAGTGGAGGTGGGGGTGAAGGGGCAGTTGGGGTGAGTAGGGAATGAAAATAATTCTAGGCCGATGTGATTATGTTTCAGCTTCCCCATTTAAAGGGAAGTGGATAAAGAAAGGCAGAAACAATGTTTATGAGATATTCTCTTGGACAAGTGAAGTTTGCTTCACAGAATAAAACAGAGCTGACCATGGTTCCTATATACAGGTCAGCCCAGCAGACAGTAAAATGCAGCGTGGGATACTGTGATGGCCTTATATCTAACAAATATACTATAAGCCAACAAAGAGGTAGTTTTCAGGAAGAAAAGAGAATCAGCTTTTTATTTTGGCTATATTTTTTACATGAAAAGAAGTAGTCTTTTTACTGTTTGTTTTAGAACCTTAAATTTAATCATACTTAATTCCAGAACTATGTTTTATATGATCCTGTAATTTACAAATGCCAAAATAATTATGCCAATTAAAACAAAGGCTGGTCATCACAAATTACAATTTCCTAAATTCCCAACCATGCCTCATCTTTTTATCATCTATAAGTCATGTGGTTTATATCACTTTGACTTACTTTAATTTTCCTGGGCCTTGTCCATATCCTTTAGTCTCTAACTTCCTGTAAAAATTCCTTAGTTTGGCTTCAAAATCTCGCTTGTAAGGGGCTGGAGCCCGGGCATTGGCACGCTGAGTACCTACAGCAAACCACAGAAAGAGGACAGTCGGGATTTGTGTTAATGGCCTGTGTTCAACACATCACTGTGAGAAAACACTACAGTGGGTATAAGATGACAGTTAACAAGTAACAGGAGGCAATACTTTTAGCTTCCCTACTTTTTACCTCTCCAAGTTGAAGGATGTAGCAGAGTTTAACCAGGGTTTCAAGAGAAGTCTTCTTTGTGGCGCTCTGGTGGTTTGAATAGTTATAATGGTGCCCAGGTGTTGGTCAACTATGTTCCCTTTTTCAGTACAAACTAATATGAGTCAAACAGAGTTACTCATGTCTAATGGTAACTGTTCAGGGTAGAATATCTTTACTTGCTACTGAGATGATATCATGGCAACCAGACAGGAAGTTACAATGTGAAAGTATGTGGTAGATAAAGGAAGGATATTGACTATCTTTCAACTATTCCCTCTAAATTCCTCACTACAAAAGTGTCTTTTAATATGCATTATAACTAAGAATGAATTTAGACAAAGAATTACGTACATTTCATATTGCATATTTCATTCACACAGCAAAGAATCTTGGTGTAAAACCAGAATTCGGTCATTATCGCAGAAGGCTGGGCAATAGGGTTGGGCAACGGTAAACAATATTAATATTTATTGCATGCTGAGTATGTGCCAAGTACTACAGTCATTGACAGATTATCTAAAATGTCTCATATGTTGTTCAGTGGCAACTATCATTAATGTAAAAATAACTCAATCTATTCCTCTTTCCACAGAAAAATCCAGCTTTGTGTGACAAGGTGACTAACCAACAAGCCAGGACACAAACTGATGATGAATACAGGAATCAGATCCAGAGTCATGATAGAAACACTGCATATTTCCACTAAATTTATTTCCCAACATAATGAAAGAAGCCACAAAATAAAAATAATGAAATTATACACATAACAGACAGTGTAAGCTCATTAAATGTTTATTGAACAAATGAATCTACTAAGGGATTATTATTGGTTGTAATACTGTATTAGGCTTAGCTACAGATGCCTAAAATGAATAAAGTGGGGTCCCTGAAGCTAATATCTTGGTTGGAGAGACAGAAACAAAACCTATCAAACAATTAGAAAATTATTAAGTGATAAATTAGGTGGTACAAACTATAATGCAGAGGGGGCAAACTACCAAACCACGTTGGTATCTTGGTTGGTTGGAGATCAGGGCTATATCCAGCCCTAGGGATCTATTTTATTTGCTTTCACAATATTTTTAAAAGATTTTAAATTAATTGCCAACATTTAAAAATTAGATTTCAAGTAAAAAAAAAATCCAGATTTTTCTCTTGAAAATTATTTGGGAAATCTGGCAACAACTGGCCTGCATTTCCTTGGGCCAGCTGACAGCTGGCTCCTCTGATGGGCACATGCTCTCCACTGTGCCACTGCCACTCACGGACATTGGCTACCTGGTCCCATAGATACTTCTGTCTAAGTGTTATATAAAAATAAAAGTAAATGAGTCTAAGTAGAAATCAACATAGAAAAGACCCTAGGAAGGAGCTTTATTGGAACCAGGACTTGTAAAGGGACATTCTGTACATTCTACACATTCCACATTATGTACATGGGGAAAGGCAAGCCCTGGGTAAGGGACTCCCAAGAGTTGGGATGAGCACTGCGTATGTGCTCAGAAGATGGTGAGGAGACCAGCTAACTTAGAGTGGAAAGGGAGTGCTGGGGAGTAAATGTGAGATTAGACTGGCCAGAAAGGTTGGAGACAAATTATGAGAGGAATTACAAAATTTAGCTGATATAGTGGGCAGTGAGAGGCCTTTACAGGTTCTTGAGCAAGGGAATAACATAAAAGTGTTGTATTTAGGAAATTATTTTCATAGAGTGTGTTGAATAGATTAAGGATGGGAAAGAGGAAAGGAGACTGGAGGGAGCAGACACAGCTAGGAGTTGTTGCAGCAATCTAGGCTTGAAGGGATGAGGAACCAGAGTGGAGTGTGAGTGGGTGACTCGGAGAGACAGAGTGTGAAATAAGAGTTGGCAATGGACATCCATAAGGAAGAGCAACGGACAGCTCTGATGATCATCTAGGTTTTTTGTTTTTTTTTAAACAATAGTTATCCTTTTCTTAAATGCTTGCTATGTGTTAGGAAGGGTGCACTTCACACAGAGGATCTCGAGAGGTTCTTACAACAAGCCTATGAAGCAGATGTTTATTATTATTACCATCATCACCACTTTGCAACTAAGGAAACTGAAGATGCAGTTTCCTGTCCAAGTCACATGGCTGTGAACAGATTTGGGGTTTGTGTCAGGTCTTTCTGATGTTGAAAGCAGTGTGGGAAATGATGCTGATAGACAGGGGCATGTGAAGTTTTATACATACTGAGTTGGAGGTGATAGCTGGTCAGGTGGGCAACTGCTCTATGGACATTTGAAAATACAGAACTGGAGTTCAGGTGAGAGTTCAGGGCCACGCCTGTGGGTTAAATGGGAGTTAGTGTGTGCACAACACTTACTGCAGTGCCTGTCACAAAGAAAATGCCATTGTAAGTGTGAACTGTTACTATTATTATCTAAAATAGATGTGAATAATAAAGACATAGGAAAATGTGTTAGGATTTTAGGAATGGACTTTTACATAATTAGCTATTCAATTATCTGTGCAGAGGTCTGTTTGTATAATTATGAATCTTTTACCCAAAAGGGCTGGCCAATGTTATAAATAAGTAAACCGGACTTTAAAAGATTTGAGATGTAGAAGAGACCTTTAGGCAGTGCTTGACTGCACATTAGAATCACCTGTTGTTAGCTGCCACTGAGTCGGCGCCCAACTCATGGTGACCCTATGCAAAAAGGAATGAAATGCTGCCCAATCGGTTGTGGATCAGACTGGTGTGATCTATAGGGTTTTCTTTTTTAAATATTTAATTTTATTTTTGGTGAAATATACACAGCAAAACCCACTCCTGTTCCACAGTTTCTAGACATAATGATCAGTGACATTGGTTACATTCTTCACACTGTGTCAACATTCTCATTATTTCTGTTCTAGTTGTTTCACTTCAACTTCCTGACCCCAACCTTCTCATCTATGTTCTAAAATAGATGTTGACCCTTTGGTCTTACATAATTTTTTTTTTTTTAATGCAAAACTCAAGGGTAACAATCTTTACTCTTGGGCTAACCTGTTACTTAGTTTAAAGGTGACTTCAAAGTATAGTTTCAATTCAAGGTTTGAAGAGCAACTCAGGGCCATAGTCTTGGGGATTCCTCTAGACTCAATAGATCCAATTAAGTCTGTATTCTTTAAGAATCTGAGGCTCTGTTCCACATTTTTCTCCCTTTTTATCAGGATTCATCTATTGTGTCCCTGATCAGTAGTGGTCGCCAGGCACCATCTAGTTTTTCTGGTCTCAAAGTGGAGAAGCATAGAGTTTTCCTTGGCTGATTTTCAGAAATAGATCGCCAGGCCTTTCTTCCTAGATAGTCTTAGTTTGGAAGCTCTGCTGAAAATTGTTCAGCACTGTAGCAACATGCAAGCCTCTACTGACAGAGTGGAGGTGCACTGGCTGATAACTGAAGCCGCGTCTTCCACATGGAAAGCAAGAATTCTACTACCGAACCACCAATGCCTCACAGAATCACTTAGGAAGTTTTTAAAAATAGCAACATTCAGGCCACACCGAAGACGCATTATATCAGAATGTCTGGGGTGGGGACCAGTCATCACTGTTTTTAAAGCTCTCCAGGTGATTCCAATGTGCAACCAAGGTTGCGAACCTTTAACCCCTGGAGGAAGGTCAAATGCAATCAATGATCACCTGGGCAGCATCCAGAGCTAAACAGAGGGCAAACACTTCCTGTGTGTTTGAAAGGCATTGTTTGCAACACGAAGGGACATAGTCTCCATGAGCACAGCCTCCTTTCCTGGATGGTGAAGGGGCAGCACAGCACAGTACAAGTCCACTCAGGGTAGCAGAATAAACTTGTCCGTGCACAAGTCTGAAAAATTGCAGACTAGGAGCCCTGGTGGTGCAGTGGTTAAGCCACTCCTTGGAAACCCTATGAGGTAGTTCAACTCTGTCCTACAGGGTCCCTGTGAGTTGGAATCAACTCGATGGCAATGGGTTTTGGTTTTGGTTTTTTTTTAAACCCAGATAACCCAAAAAGCAGCCACAATGAATCAGCTTTCAGGAGCATGATCATTGATAGGGAAGAGAAACAGAAGAGCAAAGGACTGAATGAAAATCTTTCAGAACTCAAAAGAAACCTGATTCTTGAAGAGCTCATTACTTTAAAAAATGACACATATACTATTACTGGATAATTTGAGATGCTTAAAGGTATGTGGGAAATGCCATAATGAATTCCATCAATATCTGTACAGACACTTTGTAAAAATTAGCTCTGACTCCATTTACGCTCTACGTAATGGGACTGAATCATGGAGACTCGAGACAGAAATTGTTAAGCGCAAAAATTCTTTTGCTAATAGTTCTATTATGAAAAAAATCATTTACACATTACTTCATGGTTTAAAAATTACAGTAAATTATGCTGTTGGCTCTTGTGAAATTCTTACTGCAAGTCAGGTGCAACTGCCAAGAAATTCCAGGGCAGGAACAATATTGCTTCTACTCAAAAATGTTCTTCAAAGACTGAGCTTAATAGGATTGTATAGGAACCATATCTGCAAGTGAAGTTCTAGGATATAATACTCTATAAATAAACAGTAATTTTATGGTCATTACGGTCTTAAAAAGATCAATGTTACCTAGAGTAAATGGTCACATGAAGGACTGACTTGGATTACCAGCATTATATCAATTTTTTGCAGGAAAACATTACTAGGTTTTTTTTCCTTCATTGTTGCTAACCGGTTGCCAGGGAGTCGATTTCAACTCATGGTGACCCCGTTGTGTGTCAGAGTAGAATTGTGCTCCATAGGGTTTTCAATGGCTAGTTTTTTGAAAGTAGATCACCAAGCCTTTCTTCTGAGACACCTC